CCCTCGATGGGCTGTTGACGCCTTGAGAGGTGTCAATGTCGACCTTCTCAGCAACGATGCCTAGCTTTCGGGGGATCAATTAGCTATGGACATGGAGCGTCGCTAGTACCGAAAAATTATCGTATCCACCCTAACTGTCGGTCTTCTTCTTAGCAATTCCCACTCACGTGTCCATGCCTAACTCTTCCAGAGAGTGAAACATGATCCGGTTCAGTTACAGCGTGATATCCTTCATTGTCTACCGGTCAATTTTGATCATCCAATAGGTAAGCACAATGTGATATTTCTTATGCCTATACACGAAAGCAACACTTGGATAGTGGGTTGACTTGGGCCGAGAAGTATTTTGAAACCTATTTCTGTCCAAGCCTTACTTTATAGCCCAAAGGCTCTATGCCTCATATTCGGGCGGAGTCCAGGTCTTCGTGCCTCCAAACGCGGGTATCACGCGGCCCAGCACACCGCTGAATCCTTGTATAAAAGGATGTGAAAGTACGCCTGTGACATTGTTGAAGATCTTGATACCCCATTCAGTTTGAGGATTGGCGATCTGAGGAGCACCCAGTATAAGTCTTTGGGCCTTGTCAACATACTGCCTCGTGATACGTTCGTAATTGGCCAGAGCAGAGGGAATATCATTGGGCATCTTTGATAATTCACCTGCAAGGACATAGGCCCCCACTATCCCCGCACCTGTACCCTGCGGACCCGTCAGCATGCTTGGCTCCAAAATGGTGGCAATCGAACCTATGAGCGGGAAAAGAAAACAATCCACATACCACACCAGAGATTGGACTCGGACAATACGCTGCATCTCCTACCAAAGTCACGTGTCCCTTCACCCATGTGTCCATCTTAACCTGTGCAATCTGCTGCATGTAGAAATCATCTGCCTTCTTCATCTCTCGGATACAGCGTTCTGCCTGGAATCCAGCGTCTGAAAACTCTTTTTCAAACCATGCTTGCTGTTCTTCTCTTGATCCCTTCTTCAGGAGGCGATCAATCTCGTCAAAACGGGAAAGATTTGCATCGGTGACTGCAAGGTATGCTCTCGTTGTACCGTACTGGTCTGGTCGTAAGAGAAATAGGCGGCCGCGTGATGCGTTGTACCATTGTGCATATTGGGTATCAGTTGGATCGCGCGGCATAGTGAACAAGGCGGAGTATTGTCCTAGGCGGTACAAGTAATCGTCGTTTTTGGGACCGTGGCCGAAGACGAGGCGTCGGGTACGTGACATCTGACCATCCGCACCTACAACCAAATCATATTTTGTAGTTGCAGTCTTGTTTTTGAAAGTGACTTCTACTTTTCCGTCTTCTTTCTCGTCGATGGCTGTGATCATTTCATCAAAAATGAAGGTTATCTTAGGGTTGTCTTTCACAGCGTCGTAAACGATGCGCGCCATGTCCCCACGGAGGATCTCGTACTCGCTCGTTGCTGCTATTAGTTAGCTTTTTTTTTACCAGTTTCCCGTCTCAGCGATCCCTCTCATATGGCAACATGAAAAGATATTCCAGGAAAGTTTGACCCAGGACATACCACTCTGACGTTCCTCTTCTCCTGTTGCCTCAAAAGTCGCTCTTGTTTTGCCATCCCGGTATACAAATTGCATTCCGACCTCAGTTGTATTGTATTCTTTTACCTTGCCCAACAGGCCCATTTTCTTTACAATAGGCAGACACGATGAACGAAGATCTACTGCCTGGCCACCTAAGCGTGGTTCGGGGCTACGTTCAATGATGGTGATTTGTGAGGATGGAAGGAGGCGATTTAGCCAGTAAGCAAAACATGGTCCTGCAATACCAGAGCCAGATATCAGAACATTGAGACGGGCAGTGGATGATGTGGACATTTCTGCGGAGGAAGAAGTGGTTTTAAGAGGGACTGAATGGTTGAATGGTTGAGTGGAGATAGAAAGTGTGGACAACGAAGGCAGAGAGGATTCAGCTGAGCAATTTAAGGCTATTGAAGCCCTTGGACACGGGCAAATGGTTGCACACGCTATCCCCTAGATCCTTCTCGGGACCTGAACTGCTCTTTCTCCGCATGAGACAACCCCAACTGGTTCTAGGGGCACAGATCAGGTATTTCCTAGTACGGATGTCGTGAATCATTTTCAACCAGATCAATGGCCGGAAGCTAATCTACTGCGTTTGAATGACGTCAGCGAAGGATATCGTACGCAGCATTTAGTGGGCACAAAGGATTGGGAGCAGGGTTGGATGGACAATCTAAGTAGTTTTGCTTGGTTGCTAAGCAGCATCGCGCTTGTTACAGTGCCGTTGGGATGTCTGTTGCGGAAGTCCGTAGCCCAGCATCGGAGTGTCGGGACATGGACAGGCACCGAGCACGGTTGTTGCCGAATTGGAGCACACCAGTGGGGGGAGCCACTGGGGTGCTGGCGAAATCTGGCCGACGCCTCTGCGCCTGAGTTTGCCTGATGATCGAGTTACACATGTACCATCGGTGAATATAATCATCTATCGTCTCGGCAATCCTCCAAGATAGATGTGGCAGGGTGTACGAAAGACGCTTTTTTTTACAAGTGTTTATCGGTTCTGTGCGACATGGGTGTACCAAGCTCATTACACCTGTCGCGCAGAGAGATGTTGTGGTGAACTTTGTCAACAAGGCCGTTTGCGCCAGGCCACAGTACGAGATGTGTCGTGATATTGGGCTGTAAAGGGGCAATAGGAAACTATTGGAATGCTGTATGCATACACAAGTAATGAGGGGTTGGGCTTGCCTGCAAACTGCTGGAAAAGTGTTCTTCATTCGATAAAGCCAGTATTGAAAACATTAAATAGCTAGATGTACATATGGTCCCCGTGATACTTGACGTTATCTCCATACACCGTTGACTTGGCAGCAACCTCAAGCTCGCGCTTAGGAAATCCCTTGAAAGACTGGGCATAGGTCGCAACCGAATGAGCAATGAGCTATGGCGTGTAAGTAAATTGCTTGTACGTGGACACCGTGGGAGATGGGGAAAAAAAAACTTACTTTTGTGTTGACGACCCAGGCTGTGATGTTGACATTGCCGACATCGTCACAAAGTTGGTGGTAACATGGGTCATACCAGTCCCCTGCCTTGCCGCCAAACATGCCAGCCTCCTCCTCTGTCTTGATACCTTCAGCGCCAGTCGCAATACCACCGCCTGGAATGCCGTTGCGGATAAATCCATCATAGTCACTGCGACCATCAAACGGAATAAACGTATAGTTTAGGCCCTGATCCTTGTACCAGCTGATGTACAAATCGCGAAGTTCCTCGGATCCTATCGGGTTCACGGCATTGGTGGCATTGTAGATTTGGTAGGCAAAGTTAGGACTGGCCATCATATCGTAATCCATGAACAGACGGATCTTTTGATTCTCCTGGTCGGAGAGCGAGGCAACATAGTAATCAGACCCGAGCAAACCTTCTTCTTCGCCGGCCCACCACGCAAATCGGACACAGTTGGAGACATTGAACTTGGTGAGCTGGGAAGCTACCTCGAGCAGAGATATTGTACCCGAGCCATCGTCGTTGATACCAGGGCCCTCAGTCACACTGTCGCTGTGGGCGCCGAGCATGACGCAATTGTCGGAATCGCCTTCAGTCGTCTGAGCGACAATATTGACGGTTTGGATTTCATTGACCTCGGCATCAATATAAGCGATGCCATCAACGTGGTTTCCCTGTTTAAGCTCCTTCAAGATTGGCTCTGCTTCCTCTCCAGAGAGACCAAAGGTCGCAATGTGATTGGGCGATGGTGTTCCCAAAGTGCCCGAAACAGGGTCCTTTTCGTAGTTGTATACGACAGCCGCCACAGCGCCTTTGCGACCCGCGTGCTCGGACTTTGTGCCAAATGGGCATACTCCACGCTTGATAAAGGCAATGTTACCCGCCACGGAGTCGGGGAAATCGGATGCCTCGCAGCCTTGGTTGTCAACGAGGACGAGATCGCCGTGTACGGGCTCTTTGTCCTTGGTTGCTGGGGTCAGACCCATGGGAGCTGCTGATTTGGGCACGCCATCGCCAATGACCAAGCGTGACTCGAAGACGTTGCCAGACACGGCAGGGAAGGACTGGTTGGAGATGGTGTAGTAGTCTCCAAGCTCGAGCAGAGTCTCGTAGATGTATGATAGGGTGCCGAGATGGCCTACAGTGGGGGGTCAGTCTCATCGTCTTGACATGGACACACACACACGACGTGAAGAAGGCGTACCAGCGCTACCAATGACTCTGGTCGGATGGTTGTACTCGGCTTCACCAAGTTTGGCAATTTCATACAGCTTCTTTGCGCGCGTCATCAATCTATCGCCACTGATGAGGTCCTGAAGCTCCGTCGAGTTGACCAGCGGCTTAGTCCCCTGGGGATGGCCGAGCAGCGCCTGGTTGCTCGACGACAGCAGTGGGATCTGAAGCGCAGTGGCGCTGGTTACGGCTGCGCACAGCGCAAAGCCGGACAGGAAGACCATGATGGGCAAATGGAAAGGGGCAGCGCGATGTATGTGGCAGGACGAGGGATGACAGTCAGTGCCGGTGTTTGTTTGACGGGCGGGTCGTCTTGTTGCCGTGACGCTAACACGCACACGCGCCTGCCCATGACGCCTGTCCCCGTGCACCAGGCCAGGTCACGTCGCACAGGTAGGATTCCTTTTTCCAGCGCATTGAGGATGTCGTCTCGGAGGAGGCTGAGCTGGATGTAGAGAGAGTATTTAAATACACGCTATCACTCTGATTCCAGACGCGTGTTTGAGGATATAGTTTGTTTGCCATGCACGTAGTGAGCGCTAGCCCCCGAGGTCCAGGGCATGTCGATAATGTAAGCAGGTAAGTCCCTAGGGTATGTACTTATTGAAGGAAGTATGTAATTGCATGTCGCTGAGCTGCGCATGCGCTGACATGATGGGTTGCAAACGAGATAGCTACTTATGATGATGATGATGATGATGGCTGTTCATGACCACATTTACTGGCGCATCGGAGCTAGAGGCAAAGCGTTCTCTGTATTTAGTTACGGTGGGGGATGATCGTCTTTGCGGGGAGGGGGAATGCAGATTGAGGTGCAAGCGACGACATGGTGGCGGCTATGGAGACCAACCGCCGCTGCCCGCAGCCCGCAGCCCGCAGCCCATAGCCCGTAGCCCGCTGCAAAGCATAGCATAGCATAGCATGGCGGCTGTGAGGGTGCCCATGCAAACGTTTCGAGGGGGCGTCGTTTCGGCGTTAGCCCCATGTAAAGTAAGTACAGGGTAAGTATGAATGGAAAGGGTGCGGGATTTAGTCGTTCCTGCAGAGTAGCGGTAGGACATGCTGTCACTGTGTGCATGTTCCATGAGACGGCGAGAAACAGGGACAAGGCTGGCGCCCCTTGCGACGGTGGCTGGTAGGCCAAGGCGTGTCAAGCATCGCCAGGACACAGCGGACGATGCTTGGTGACGTGTCTGCAGCAATCAAGGCCAGACGGACAGTGAGAATGGGCAGGCCAGAGCCAATGGCCGGGCGCGGATGCGGGCGCGACGTTGCAGGTTGCAGAGTTTCGGTGTATATGTGGTGCAGCAAAGTCTGGCTGGCGGACCAAGCACGAGCATCGAGGCTGTGTGCCCCAGCCCATGGGGCTGCCAGCTGCGAGCTGCGAGCCATTGTTACGACGGCCCGCGACGGGCAAACAGGGAAACACACCACAGCGACGGCCGCCCGAGATGACGCCGGCGCCCTTTACATGCTCCAGCTGTCCATCGTGTGCTTGGTGTTTCGTTCCTTTTTATATCCTTTATTTCCTCTGCTCCTGCTCCCTTCTGCCCTGACCTGCCCCCCTCCCTCCCCCCTCTCATGTCAAACACCTCGCACGCCCGCTCATCCTGAACCTGACGGCGTCAGTAGTGGCCCCGAGCGCCGCAATCAACTACACAATCCACCCCTGCCAATTTGCCATTGTCCCAGCCATGGCCCACAGCTCGCGTCCCTCGCACGACTACCCCCACGCCCACACCCACGGCCACCGCTCCTCGCGCGACCGGGCATACAGCTCCGACAAGCCTCGTAGTCGACGGCCCTCAGAAGACCATCGTGGCCGGCGGCGCGAGTCACTGCCGCAGTACAACCACAATGGCCACAAGGTCACAAAAGGCATCCACCCCGAGGGCGAGAGTGGCAGGAGCGGCTTCCACCCCATCAAGTTCCTCGTCATCAGCGGCAAGAGTAGCAGCACCCCGTCTATGCTCGTCAACTTGCTCTGGCCCATTGTCCCCGTCGCCATCGCCCTGGTCAGTGAGCCTTGCTGCACATGCAAACTATTCCACCCAACCCGCCCACCATGCTGACCCCTCTCGCAGCACTTTGTAAAGCCGGAATGGCACCTTGCCATCTTCATCACAAACTACATCGCCATGCTGCCTGCTGCCAACATGCTGGGCTTCGCCGGCCAGGAGTTCTCCCGCAAGATGCCAAACAAATCGTTTGCCGTTGTGCTCGAGACAACCTTTGGCTCCATTGTTGAAATCATCCTCTTCATGGTTTTGCTCCGAACCTCAAAGGGCGACTCCAATGTTCAGGTCATCAAGGCTGCCATCCTGGGCTCCATTCTCGCCAATCTCTTGCTCTGCTTGGGTTCATGGTACGCCTCCGGTGCCCCTGCCCTTGTTCCCGCTGTCATCTAACGTCAAAATCTAGCTTCATTGCAGGTGGACTCAAACACAACCAGCAGGAGTTCCACGAGGCCATTTCTGAAAACGGTTCTGGCTTCATGCTCGTTGCTGCCAGTAAGCCCATACCCCCACCCTCCCACATACTCGGCTGTGCTAATGCCCCATAGTGGCTCTTGTCCTCCCTGCTGTCTTCTACTCTTACCTCAATCAAAACCCCGACTACGAAAGCAATGTCGACATTGCATACAATACCCGCCTCATCTCCCGTGGCGTAGCCATCATCTCCATTGTCGGCTATCTCATCTACATTGTATTCCAGACGGTTTCCCACGATGGTCTGCTCCACGAGATCTACGAAGAGGACGACGCAAAGGACAAGGACCGTCACAAGGAGCTCAAGAAGCCCAAGCTCACTATGATTGAAGTCTTGGTAGCCCTCGCCATCTCCTTGGCATGCGTGTCACTCGTCGCCATCGCCCTGGTTCAGCAAATCCCCCACATCGTGGAGCGCGGAATCAGCGACGCTTTTGTCGGTCTGATCTTGATTCCACTTGTTGAGAAGATTGCCGAGCATCTCCTTGCCATTGACGAAGCCTACGACAACCAGATCAACATGGCCCTTGCTCACGTTCTCGGCGCCTCGATCCAGACGGCCTTGCTCAACGCTCCTCTAGTTGTCCTGGTTGGCTGGGGTCTTGGCGTTGGCATGGACTACAACTTTTCCATCTTCGATGCCGTTGCACTAGTGCTCGCAGTACTCACTGTCGGTTCGTTCCTTCGTGACGGCAAGTCCAACTACCTCGAAGGTGTACTTTGCGTCATGACCTACATCATCATCGCTGTTTGCGCTTTTTACTTCCCAAATCCAGCTGGTCACGGTGCTTCGGCAGAAAGTGGCGGTGCTGAAGGCGGTGCTGAAGGCGGGCATTAGGCCTTCATTGTCGAGTGGTTTGGGGAATATAGGCCGCCGCAACATTTGCTTCGATTTGAGGATTACATAGCCATAGGGCTGCGGGGTTGAATTCAGAAGGTCCGGGCCTACGTTGCTTAGATTCTTAAAGCGAGCATCTTCGATTCTTTTCTCTTTGCAACAAGCTTCCCATTCCATTTGTACAGTCTGCTTTGTTCTTTCATATAGCGTACTTAGCAAGCGAATCATATCAATTCTTCCTTTCTGCACACAAAACTGGCAACGCCATTGTTTTTACCAATATACATATGCACAGAATTTCAATGGCGAACCAAAACCCATGCCTATGTACTATGCTGTAGGATGTAGTGCAATACAGCCCTGTCGCTGTGGGGGAAGATAGCGCAGTCGCCATGCCATATCCGCACTAGACCACCACGCACGGACCACCACGCACACACTTGCCGAAATATCGACCCCATTCTCCCAACTCTTTCTTCAGCGACAATCCCACTAACCAGACAGCCACCGCCCCTTCCCACGACAACTTCTTTTCCCAGCTCACACAAAAAGTCGCCAAAATGGGTCGCGTCCGAACCAAGACCGTCAAGAAGTCCGCCAAGGTCATCATTGAGCGTTACTACCCCAAGCTGTCTCTGGACTTCGAGACCAACAAGAGGATTTGCGATGAGATTGCCATTATCGCGTCCAAGAGGCTCAGGAACAAGATTGCCGGATACACCACTCATTTGTATGTGCAAGTGCGCTGCTGAGGGTTTGCTGGGAGCAATTGGCGATTGAGGTGCTGGACGGCTGAATGGCAGCCTTCCAGGACTCGCGAAAACCTATCGCTCTCACCATAACTCCAGCTGCAGCACGATTATCAACTTTATCTGTTCAATCACGGTGGCTAACAAGTCGCAGGATGAAGCGTATCCAGCGTGGTCCCGTCCGTGGTATCTCATTCAAGCTCCAAGAAGAGGAGCGTGAGCGAAAGGATCAATACGTCCCCGAAATCTCCGCTCTCGACTTCACTCAGAACAGCGAGTCTGGTTCGCTCGACGTCGACCAGGAGACCAAGGACCTGCTCAAGAGCATGGGTGTAAGCATTCACTTTGTGCCAATCGAGATTCGATGCAGTCCACTAACTTGAGCAACAGTTCGACAGCATCCCCACCAACGTCGTCGCTGTCTCTCAGCAACAAGTCGTCGAGCGCCCCCGTCGCTTCAACGACCGCCCAGGCCGCTCGTAGATGCGAATGCAAATCCACGATCCGACGGTCTCCCTTCTTCCTCCCTTCTCGATTTTCTGAAAACATGGTGTCTGGGAAAGGGTTTCTTCTGCCACGATTATGGCAAGGTTTTACGGCTATATACGGCGGCATGATGATCAGGAGTCAATGAAACAAAAAGGTTCTCCCCCCACTAGGTGTCGCTGAGTTCTCGTGTTCTTGGGCACGAGGACGACGCTTGATTGCCATTTCCCTTCCCCTTGCCCTTATACTTGACGTGACACTAGTGTGATGATGTGACAAGGTGTGTAGCTTCCTGACTGGAAGTGTCATTCCTGAGTGCGAATCCGGTGCTGTCAACATGAAGACATATTTGGCTTATGTTCTATCCATCGTTGGCTGTCATTGATTTTCTCTCCTTCTTGAACGTTTTTCCTTTCCAATGGCAGTCATCTTTCTATTCTGATCTCTCGATGAGACAACTCTCAAAAACAAACTCCTTGAAGACCTCCCTAACCAGTCCTTCTCAGCTCTCAACACGATTTGTATACCGGCGGCAAGTGCCCCACGCATATCAAGGCCACACACCAGTATAGCTGCCTGGTCGTTTGCTCACATCTAACACAGTCGAAACACTCGGTTTGTTTGACTTAGTTGCTTCCTCGTTACCTCCAATTTGAATGTCTCCCCAGCCAATATCCAGCACGGCTAGATGAAAGCTACTCAGCCTGCTTATCGACGCATCTTCCTGTCCTCGCTTGATCTTCATGGCCCTTGCGGCCGTCAAAGTGATTGCACCTGTAGCCATTGGTTCAATTATCATGTTTGGCACAGGTGTTCCTTCATCAGCACCCACAGTAGCCCTGGCAGAAGGCACAGTGAGATTATTACAAGTATCAGATGGAGCGATAATAGGCCCATGCACAGAGGGCAGATTACTAGTATCCATGATGCTGTGGAAGTTGCTCTGCATAGAAGTCCAACCCTTCTTGACAAAAGTTGGCCCAGGACCGTTTTCCAGGCTCGAACATCGGCTATGGTAGTCTTGCGTACGCTTCGTAAAGTCAGTAGTGCATGCCGATGAACTGAACATCTGAGAGCGTGAAGATTTGGGTGAAGAAGGAGCATTAGTCTTTGCACAGAAGTTGCTTTTGTTGCGAATCTGATGTCGTCGACGATTGATATATACAATAGTCCCGAAACCGGAAGTCAGAACAGTGAAAACAGCGGTCAGTATTCCTGCTATAATAGCTGCTGAGTGAATCATATCGTGACAAAAGGACCGGTTCAATCTATCAAGGGCGGTTTGCCGAGAGAAGGTGAGGGTGAAACAAAATCGTTGCAAACTTGAGCATAAGCAGCTTTTGACTCTACAGACCAACAAGCTATATCACGGATTCAGTATGAGAGTTTTCAGGATAAGTCACTTGCGCAATGTGGCTCTGATAAGAAGGATAAAGCCCTGTGTGACATTGTAGCCGACGGGAGGCAGCATATGGCGCCGACATTCAATTCATGTGACAATTGCGAAAGAGGATGTAGAACTCATGACCAATGGCCCATCTAAGAAACATCACAAGTTTGTAAGCGGCACCTCCAAAACATATCATTTGACTGTAGGGTAAGTTAGGTTCGAAGATTGAGGCAATATCTTTTTCATTACTTCCCTCGACAATCAATGCATACAAATCAATCTTCAAGAGTCAATACGGTATAATCTTTTTATTACCCATCCCTACGGTAAATGAAGCCCTGTTCCTCACCAACTCTGTCCCAATTCACAAGGTTACCGCTCATGGACGTTTTCATTGAATTTTGCAAATAGACGTGAAATGGAATTTATATGTAAACGGTAGATGTGATGAATTTGGTCAAAATAGCTATGATTTGATGAAATCATTGCCAAATATTAGAAGCGAGCTGGCATGTTGTATACATATAGGATTGATTGAATGCACTTGATGAGTAGTGCCATGGAGCTGACTTGTATGAACAATGCTGCCCACCTAGTTGTTTAGTCAGCCGAATACCTGCTACATCCGTGTTTCCTCGGATATCCTTACTTTGAACGGCGCTTTGTGTCGCGTTCTTGCATTCACGGCAAGGGAGCGTAACAGATGCACTGAAAATGCACCAGATCGTTAACACCTTGATTTCTGTAGAGTATATTCGAATCTTGAGAATCAGACACTTCAATCATATCATGCTCACAAATGGATCTTGTGAGTCACCTATTAAACAAGTCGTCTGGAAAGGGTACATCCGGGCTACAGCATGCGGGGCGTTTTCAATACCCAAGGTTGCCTCTTCTGTCATTCTGTGTTTGAATCCCAACCAATCTCGTGATCTTGCCTTTGTGATTGTAGCAGCATGAACAGTTGATGAAATGGATGAAATATCGATCGTCGTGTATGGTAAGCACATCAAATGGAGCTGAACCTGGCCAAGATACTGCTCACGGACCTATGCATTCAAGTACTTTCTGTGTGGCAATATATTTTGGTAATCGGTGAAGTGGAATGACAGCAGCAAGGACACACCAAAACATACGATGAAGTTATCCGTGATACATAGTTTCATAAGATAGTAAAGAGAGAAATCTCTCTTCTCGCGTGTCGTCGTGCACGCGACAAAACTTTATCCTAGGCCGTTTACAACCATGTCGTTTGGACCACAATTTGGCTGGGGTGACGGCACGTCACGTGCAGCTCCAATGCTCTGCCAAGCAGACCCCTAGCAGCGCTAGCTACGCGAGCGTGAATGTTTTCACCTACACTCTTGTTCTGACAACCCCAACCACCCCGCAGCACTCGGCCTCAACCGCAAACGTCTATCTCAACCGTGGCCGGCCCGTTTCTGGACCTTTCTTCTCTGTAATTACATACTGACTTGCAAGTGTTCAAGTTACCCCATTCGGTATATCAGGTCATCTGTCGCGCTTGGATCAACATGTCACCTGCTCCAATCGCCCAGACTGTTAATACCTTACCCTCGTCGCCACCACAGCAGCACCCCACCCCCAACTGTGAGTCAATGTCCATTCGAGATATGTCCGGTTAAGACCTAACGCCATGTACAGCGACACCTATACCTGCTTCCAAACACTTTGATGATATATTCCACGCCAAATTCATGAACATTATTCAGGAATGGAAGAATGACCCCTCTCGTGGCCAACTTACCCAAAAGGATCGCAAGACTTTCATCGAGACTGCGTTTTCTGAAACTGACGAGCTCTACTTTGGCCAACGCGTAATGTCTGACAATGACATTAAGCTTCGCGCTCTTACCAAAGTCTTTTACAAGGTATTAGCCGAAGAGCCCTGGTCCGAAGACTGGATACGCGCTCCGGATGTTGAGCGCAAGCTTTCCAAGTTTGAGATGCACGAGGACTCGGTTGCACTTGCAAAGAAATACGGCTTCACTACTCCACGCGAGGCTGTCAAGGCTGCACGCGAAGCCAGCGTCAAGAATGCCGATATCATCAAGGAGGCACAGAAAGAAGGAAAGACGCTCAAAGATCTCAAGCTCGACCGTGGCCCGTTTGACGACATTGAGATTGTGTATATTGCCGGCACAGTCTCATCATCAGCGACAAGCAAGATTGATCGCAATAGCATCTACCCCGTCTCAGTGTCCTCAGTCGCCAATGTTCTCCAGAATCATATCTGTCGGGACATGGTGCGGCCCTACTCGATGGCTGAGCGCTTTGTCAACTGCACTGATACCAGGGATCTTGAGGAAATGCGGCGATTTGCTTGCAACGTTTGCGACTTTTGCCCCCATCTCCTTGATAACGATAACGTCAGTCTGCTGGTAGTGCTCCTCATTCTTTCGCGGTCCGATTGCTGTCGCCGCTTTGAAGCCAACGGCATCCGCATTGAGGGCTCGACCATCAGTCATCGCAAGGCCGAGTGTATGAAGAACAAGATGGGATGGAGGACAAGCGAGGACAAGAAGCCCTACGACAATTTTGCTCAGGAGTTCCAGACACGCGTCAAGAATGCCTGCTTCCCAGCTCCCCGAGCTCAGCGCATTGGCGGCCGGAAGCCAGCGCGCACTTCTTCCACTCCTACAGCCACTCCCATCTACCTCCACAGTCCAGTCGGCTACATGGCAACTCCTCACGGCCATCAGCACCACGCAAACGCCGGCATCAATATTCCTGCCCCGCCACCTTACAATGGATTCTCGCAACCAGCACCCAACACGGCGAAGATGCAGCAACCTTTCGCATCGCCTGGTGGCAGTAATGTAGAGCCCATGGATCTTTCTTAGATGCATCAGCAGCTATTGCATAGAGGCGCCACCTTCTCTCCTTGGACTGTCTTACTGCATCGATATGGCGTCTTCCTGGTAGTTTGTAGCTTCTTCAAAAGGGATATTCAAATGGCGTTTGGTGGTTGAAGGGAGGTTGGGCATTCATGGCGATGGCATTATGCGAGCTCCCGTCTGACTTCGAGCCACTTTGATGTACAATAGCCAAATTTGCGCCTTTAATGGCTATATAATGTAAATCTATTAAAACAGCTTGGCCTCGTTTTAAGTGCATGGCAGAGTGATGGTCTAATTGTGATTGTCGTGTCCATGTTGCGAACCACGGCAGAGGGTAGATCTAGTCAAGAAGCTGCAGGTGTACTAAGCAAGAAGATCAGCTCTAGCACCCATCAACCGAGTTCTGGGCATCATGTGTGCTTTTTGGCGCATCGTTTGGCCCTACTCCAGTCGTCGACCAAGTTCGGTTGCCAAGCCAAGGGGTCGTTTGGTGCTCGAGGCAGAATAATAATGTGTTGATCGGCCCCTCACTCACCAAGTCCGTAAGCAAGTAGACTGCACCCATGGAGCTCACTGGATTTGACCTGTTTGCCTTGTTTCTTTGCTCAAGCATTTTCGGCTTGCTCGTGTCCGTATGGGCCAAGGCATGTCACCCACAACACATTAACTTTTGTGTTTGCATACTGACACTCTCAGTCTGAGCTCATCAATGAGCGCGAGATGACGCTTGTCATGGCGGTGTTTGTGGCGGTCGTGGCAATGTTGTTCACGCAGTTTTCCACCAGCAAAGCGCTGGCTGGCTTTCTGTCCAAGGACATTAGCAGCATTCACAACAAGCAGCTCGAGGACCTGACAGAAGCCCATGGCCGCCACACGGTCGGACTGAAGAGCGAGCATTACGGCGCACATGTGCGGCTGCTGAATGAGATCAACGATGCAAACGCACGGTTCGATCGGATTTACAGCGAGTATGAGCAAATATCGACAAAGTATCAAGAGCAGATGCGCAACATGCAAGAGAAAGAGGATCGCATTCAGTATCTTGAAAGCAAGCTTGGGGAATTCGGGCAGAGCAAGCATACTACTAGTACTATTGCTCGTGTCCCCTTGTCTGCGCCGGCGACGCAAATCAGCTTTTTGAAGCCACCACGTCGCCAAAGATTCAATGAGGGAAACCGATGGCCTTCTTCCACAGGCCTGCTCCCCAGGGTTGTCGAAGCTGAGAACGAGTAGTTGCTGCTGCACAGGGTGTTCCTGGGAAAGACTTTAGGGAGACGGGGTAGATGCTGTATCTGGTGGCTTCTGGATGCATATTGCTGTGCATCATTTTGAGGTTGTTTCAACATCGCCACCAAGGGGGGCTAGAGTGCTAAGAATGTTAGACATGGATTTGCCATTGAAGGAATAGGGGGGGGGGAGGGGGTCGTGGCTTCCATTTTGGGCCGACTTGGGCTTGTTGTTCAACGTGCAGGCGCTACGGACACATGCACTTGGATCGTGGCTTCCTCACCTGTGCGATACGCGAGATGTGGTGGATACATGATGCCACACATACTTGCTTGCTTACATATTGGCCGTCTAGTCTACTTTGCTTGTGCCAGGGCTTGAAACGCGTTGCTTTCTTTGAGCCCACACTGATTGCTGTTGTGATCAAATTCATTCCACTACTGAAGCGTTTTGTTTTCCCTCGTGGATGCAATGCAGCACCAGGGATCCCATGTCCAAGTCTACACATGCCTACACTTGGCTCAAAGTGAGTAGAATCGTTACCGCCCCATGTCGGCACCCGTCGTTGCTTGCAGGCAGACTGGCGAGTGGATTGCAGCCGGCATCTTCCAAGTCACACACTCACACTGAAGCCACTTCCACCAGCCCCTGATACAGGCTCGTAGACGTCATGGCGTGTCTCTGGGAGCGTTGTTAGTGTGGATGGATGCAGGAACAGATGCTCGGGGCTTGCAGCTTGCTCGCTCGCTCGCTTACTACTAGGCGCAGGTGGGACTTGGTCTGGCCTGGGTTGCAGGGAGGGCGACGCGACCTTGTTCTTCCGTCATAGCGCCCGTTGCTTCTTCCACACCACCAGACGTCTGCCAGCGAGACGGGCCTCGACGACGCCAACGGGGCAATCCGGGTCGTGCGACACGGCCTCCCAGTGCCAGGATGCAGAGCCAACGACAGTCAAGCCCCGCTGCAGCGCCATCCCCACCACGGCCAGCCAGGCAAACGACAACAAACAATGACGCGAACCTCCTTTCACTCCCGCTGAAGCGCCGCTCCCTGCAAACAGCCGCCGCCACCACCACCACTACCACCAACATGCCGCTCCCCCAGCCGCACCCGCAGCCGCACTCGCCCGCCGTCCTCAACCCCACACCACCCCGCCGTGCGCCCTCGACGCCCAACTTCAAGGCTACCCCCTCAATCCAGCGCAGCCCTAGCGTAGCCAGCTTCCGCTCCTCGACGCCGGGCCTCACCCGAAAGTCGTCCACTTCATCCCTACGCGGCGACGCCCCTCGGGCTTCTGCCTCGCGCCGTGCGTCCTTCAACCCCATGATGCAGTCGCCAATGCCAAAGAGCCCGCTGGCCACCTCGTGTCACCAAGACAAGCCGCCCCTGCGCGCCTGTGACGTTGCCCTTGACTACTTCAAAAAGGAATTGGCCCGCCACGAGGGCATCACCGGCGCCGTCAACGCGGGCACCGTCGTCATTGTCCACGACCAATGCTACGGCCACCGCTTCTCCAGGCCCAAGACGGCCAAGAGCACCCTCAGCCTCATCATGGAGCGGCCAGAGAGGATCCTGGCCAGTGTCTTGGGTATATCGACAGCCTATGTCCGGCTGGGAGAGCGACACGCAGACGGCAGCCACCCACCCCATCCACACCACAACCCTCCGGACCGCGTCCCATTCAAGATCCGCAAGACCTCACGCGCTGTCGACATTACGTCGCCTGTCGTTACCAACGTACACGGTATAAAGTGGATGAATGAACTCAAGTCCTTATGCGACGACGCCGAGAGGAAGTTGGCCTCGACAGGCAAGGAACTGGCTCGGGATTCGCCTGCAGTCTCAGGACAGGCGTCGAAGAAGGAGTTGCATGCTGGAGACCTGTACCTATGTCCCGAGTCCTTGAATGCCTTTCAGGGTGCGCTCGGAGGTGTTTTGGATGCCGTTGATGCTGTCTTCCAGGGCACAAGCTCAGGCGACGGGCCTTCACGGGCTTTTGTCTGCATTCGTCCTCCAGGTCACCATTGCTCTGACGACTTCCCCTCTGGTTTCTGCTGGATCAACAATGTACATGTCGGCATTGAGCACGCCATAATGACGTACAACCTCACCCACGCCGCCATCATCGACTTTGACCTACACCACGGAGATGGGTCGCAAGCAATCGCCTGGGCCCGAAACAAAAAGGTACACAACATGTCCAAGAATACACCCAACTGGAAGAAGACATCCATTGGCTACTTCAGCTTGCACGATATTAACTCATATCCCTGCGAAGACGGTGATGACGACAAGGTCCAGGCCGCCAGCTTGTGTATCGATAACGCACACGGCCAGTCCATCTGGAACGTGCATTTGCAGCCCTGGAAGACTGTGGAACAGTTCTGGGCCATCTACGAAGAAAAGTACATGGTACTGCTCGAGAAGACACGGCAGTATCTCAGGCATCACACCAATCGTCTACGAACTTCACCAAACCATCCGGCACCCAAGGCTGCTATTTTCCTGTCTGCCGGGTTCGACGCAAGCGAATGGGAGACTGCAGGCATGCAGCGTCATTCTGTTAACGTACCTACCGAATTCTACGCCCGTTTCACTCGTGATGTTGTCCGCCTGGCTGAGGAGGAGGGTACATCTGTCCAAGGCCGTGTCATCTCCGTTCTTGAAGGTGGTTATAGCGACCGAGCGCTCACTAGTGGAGTCATGAGCCATCTCAGTGGTCTTGTAGATGGCCAAGTCTGGACCGACGCCAAGCTCACAACAGGCCTTGCGTCTCCTGTGCGCGAACGACTTAGTGCCCTCAGTGTCGACGATCAGCATGTCTTGATGCAGTCTGTCGAGACGGAAGCGACGCCTCTAGGGTATGATCCTTTTTGGTGGCACTCGACCCATCTAACAGAACTCGAAAATCTTGTCAACCCTGCTCCCTTGACCGTTCCAAAGAAGCCGCCCCCTGGACCTAATGCTCACTTCTCATCGCCCACGCAGTCTTTTGTTGCCAAAGTCGTTGATCCTTCCAAGCTTACCCGTAATCTCTCTGCCAAATATGCCTCCAGTCCCTCGAGAGCGCCCACACCTCCTCCACCAGAGGTTGATTGGGCTACTGCTGCCCACGCTCTCAGCAGTCTGTTGATTCCTACTGATCGACAGACGCGTAGCCACAAGCCAGAAGACCTGATGGAAGTAAAAGCAAAGAAAGAGAAACCGGCTCCGCCAGTACTGACGTCTGTACATGTGGACAAGTCAGGGCGGCAGTTGCGTGGCCGCAAAGCTGCGCCTTCATACGTTGAGCGTAGCTCGGGAGACGAGAAGTCGCATCACAAGGAGTCTCGAGCAAGCAGGAGGCAGACCATCGCTGACTTCGCTCCAGCCAGCACCGAGGCTCCGCCAGTGTCATCTGCCTCGCGTCGCATGAGTATTGCCTCGAGCGTGTCTTCAATAGGAGACCGTAGAAGCTCGAGTCGTGAGCCCAATGTAGCAACGAACAGAAGAGGTGCAGCTCCCTCAGCAGCGCCCGTCAATGAGGTTGGTCTGAAGAAAGCACGGGGCCAGACAGCAGTGGCTGCAGCTCGCGCTCCTCAGCGTCCTTCTGCACCACGCGCGCAATCAGACTACTCCAGCACGAATGCCGTACTCAAGGGTAAGGAGAATGACGATGTTGAGGCACTGACCTCTGGTCTGAAACGCATTACACTGAAAATGCCTTCGAAGGAGGAGCATGACGCTCGTGAAAAAGAGAGAGAAGAACAGCTCAAGGCTGCAGAAGCTTCAAAGAAGACCGGGACACGAAAAACGCCAGCGGCTCGCGCAGCTCCTGCCAAGTCTGGAGCAAAAGCGACGAGCACTGCTAAAAAAGGCACAGGACGGGCAATGAAATCTTCCAGGGTTACCTCTCCCCAGGAATCGAAGGCACCTACAGCTATACCTATGCCTGACGATCCCTACGTGCAAGCTGCTGCCGCGGCGACTCTGCAACAGCCTCAGCCGATTTCATCTCAGGCTGCATCTGGACTGGTGCAAAACGGTACCCCACAGTCTCCTGATGGAACCCAAGTTCTAGATGGGGCCCCGGGAGTTGATCGACGGATTTCTGGTGGAATCGTGCAGCCACCGACGGAGCTACACGACATGGCCATAACTCCCGAGCAGATTCGTGAGCACCTGCCAATGCCGTCGTTTGTTACCGTGGCAGAACCATTGACAAACGCTTCGCCACCTTCTCGTGCCGACACACCACCGCCTCCACCACCAGCGAGCATGCCTCAGTTTGTCAATTATACGAGTGAGAGCTTTGGTACTGCACCGAGTTTTGCAGCGCCATCGAATGTCTCTGACCCGCAAGCGTCGGCAACCTTGCAGTGGGTGGCCAACACTCACGCCGAGACTACGGACATGGCTGCGCTGGCACCCATGTCACCTCCGAGCAAGCGGAGTGATCTTCCCGTCTTCACGGCGAATGGCGCAATACCTTTTGCGTCGAGCTCTGATGGAGCAGGGCAAACAGGTACGAGCACAGGGGCCAAGAAGGAATAGGGTGCCAGATAGACGCATTCGCTAAAGCACTTGTCGACGTGTTGGCCGTACCCTTGTTTCGACTTGATGGACGAGTTAGTTTTGTTTTTGGTATGCATTTGTGTTCAAGATTAGAGCGATTGTAATTTAGAGGGGTTATTTCTCGGTTATGCATGTCGGATTCTTGTATCTGTCTGACAATGTCTGGCCGGGTGTTTGTTGGCAAATAGCGGGGGATTCTTTTTTTTTTCCTCTCTTCCCTTTTCTGTACTGCGCAAGCGAATCGGGTCAAGAGCCGTGAGGTGGATCTGAGGGTCCAAGGGCTGATGAGTCGGGCCTTCTTTCAATTTAAGCCTCGAGGTAGCGATTGCTTAGCGTGGGACTTTTGTAGAGTAGTATTCCAGGTGTACACCTAGTGTTGGTGGTGGTTTGTAGTAGTTGCCCAGGCTTGTGCGCACGTAGAAGATACCCCAGTCTGACCATTGGGCAGTGGTCAGCGCCGATGGTGCAATTTTGTCCAATGGGAACGTTTTATTATTCGCGTCATGGCTGTGTATGTGGTTGAATTATCATATTAATGTGTTGGATCACAGGACGCAGTTTCCGCCCTCTTGTCTACTGATGATTGGTGGTATGTGTGTGTGTGTGTGTATATGCGAAGGCATGTAGGGCTATCTTGGCTAAGCGCCCATCTGTCCATCCCGTACTCATGTGGTACTCGTGCAGTGTTCGTATTGCATTACGCGGGCAGTGACCTGACGGCAATGGCTGCAGTCCCCCCGCATTCACAAGGGTGCAAGGGTTGTATGTGGGTGGGCGGCCCGTCTGCCAATCATGGCTGGGAACTACCCTTCTAAGAGACAGGCATGGCAAGACAGACCAAGGCGCGACATGCGGCCTGCATGGCTCCGTTAGCGTACGTGTGTGACGTACGTTTGGGTTTTGGCCACTAGTCTCCCCATGCCCGTGCTTGAGGTGACCATGTGCACCAGACGAGATGAAGGCAAGGTATGAGGGGGGAGAGAGGGGAGCGCTGCTTCTTCGTCTTTCTTTTTCTCTTTTCGGGTTCTAAACTTTCTCACCACTGCTGATCTTTGTCGTTTTATTATCTCCGGGTTGTTTCCTGCTTGGCCGTGCTGCCGTGGGCCAAGGGCTGGCTGACGTGCTTTGGGTGCGAGGCAAGGGCAAAAGGGTAAAGCGGGTACTCTTTTGTTTGCAAGGATCGAAGCAAGCGAGCGTGGCGTAGTCGTATGTACCTATGCGTTTCATCCCAGGCAGGTACATTCCGCCTCTTTATTTACTAGCCCTACCTACCTTCTGCTGTCTATTTCTTCTCCCCTCTCTTCCCCTCTTCCTACCTCTTCGCCCTCCCTCGTGCTACTCCCCCTCCCCGGCACTCTTCCATCCGCCATAGAGCACAGTCAAGTCTGCTTCGAGTCTCCATTGATTTGCAGTAAACGTCGGCATTCCCCCCCCACCATCAGCTGCCATGGCGTCATCTGCGCCCACAAGCAATGGCTCAAGCCGCAGCAGCCTGAATCCCTTTGCAAAGCGCGATGAGCATTCCTCCCAGGCTATACTCCTCTACAAAATCACCACATCGCTCAGCTACCTCCTCCTTGTCATAACGACCTTCTACTACACGTTCCATGCCCCCAGTGGCCACGGCGCCCACCGCTTCTGGAAAAACAATATCCCCACGCCATTTGCACAAAGCAGCCTCTTCACGTCGATATATTGGCTGATTCTGTTTGCCGTGCAGCTCGTGTATGCTTACGCCTTGTACATGAGCGACACGGTGTACGTGACCGCAGCAGCAAATATTGGCTCTCATTTTATTGCCAACAACCTGCTGCTCTTTGGCTTTGTCAATCTCTTCGTCCGCAGCCACTTTTGGCTCGCAGAGGTCCTGCTCGTCATCAACTTTTTTAATCTGGCTTTTGCCTACTTTCGACACAGCACCACGCCCCGCGCCATCCACATTGGTATCGTCAGCGGCCCGCTTGCATGGAACTTTGTCGCCCTCGACTGGTGCGGTGCCATTGCCCTGCACACCAACCATGAGGCTTTCCGCATTGTTTGCAATCTCTTCATCTGGGGGTGGCTTGCTTTTGGCTTGTTCTTCCTTGTGGCCTACAAGGACTACACCATGGGATTTGCCTTGTCCCTTCTGGCGTTTTGTACGTTGTTTTTCTTTTCCTTTCTCTTCGTCCTGCACGAAAACACATGAAAAAAAAAGGACTATCCGCTAACACTATCCCAATCTAGCAACGGGAGTGGGTCAGTTTCTCACTCGCCCACATATTCTGCAATTGCAGTGGATCTTCGCTTTTACTATTGGCGGTCTCTTGTTCGTGCTCAGTCTTGCTGTTGGCGTGCCCGGTCTGCTGGGCCGTGATCCTTTCCCGCGCGGCCACGTGGTCAGCGAGGATAGGGAGAGGGCACCACTGCTGGCTGATGACTGAAGAGCAGACAAAGGCGGGGTTCATGGCTGCTGAGCATGCTAATGATAGCCTTGGGCATGCTTCTTTCCGAGCGAGGTACACATTTGCGGCAGTGGTTCAAGTTATACGACGTTAGTGTGCAGTTCTTTTGATAGCTTGGTGTTTCCTCTAGCCTACGGTTCAAGCATACTTTTCTGGTATGTCGCGGACCTGATGGAAATGGCGAGTCATGTCTGACTTGTAAGTGTATTATTAGTCTATGTACACACTCCGCTCTGCAGATAGTTCAAAGCAGCAAGTCTTGATTTCCATCGTTGACTCCTGGACTAATCACCATGTGCTGCGGCTCATTCTGGTTAACCACCCACCCCCCTCCAATCCCCCCGACTGGATCTGCAGTGATTGGGCTTCCGCCAAACGAGCTCTGTCGACCCACACTTGCAAAATACATGTCGGCATCATTCACGGCACCCGCCATGCCCGTGCCGTTGCCGTTGCCATTGCTAGGGCTGAGACTGCCATTGCCATTCGTCGTCACGTCCAGCTTAGTCCGCTCGGCTGCAGACCGCTCCCGGGCTTGTTGAGCTGCCTTGAACGTTGGCAGCTCTTCCTTTTGTAAAGCAGGCGAATCCTGTAGTTTTCGCGGCCGTGCGCTGCGGAACACTTGGTTGACTGGCTTGAGATAGACGGTTGCCAGTGTCCCCACATTAAGGCACATTTCCTCTAGAGTGCTAGGGTCCAGTTTCTCAGACTCTTCAGCTGTGATCGGAGGCTTCTCCCCCATGACCACTTTTTTCGCTTCCTCGGGTGCCGAGGAAAGAAGACGCCAATACATATAGCCTCGGTCCCGTAAGTCGGGATTGTCTGTTTCTTCCGTTGCCCACTTGAGCACCTTGGGTACGATGGCCGATCCTCGAGTAGGTCTCTGGATGAACAGCTTGACCGTGGCCGTGAGAAGAGCCAGCTGCACCTCGTGTGTTTCTTCTTGGAATGTGTCCAGGAAATCCTCGAGAAGAACATCAGAGTCTTCTATTCGGTCTGCATACTCACCAATCACCCAGATCATGGCGGCCTTTGCTTCGGGTTCATCAAGCGAGTCGAGGTTCTCGCACAGTGTCGAGATGATGGATTCATATTGGTTGGGATATTTGCGGAAGATGTTCCGGATAACCACCGTCGCTTCTTGCACAATGTACGATACCTTTGTACTGACGAGTGAGAGAAGAGTGCTGATGCAGAGCTGGGCTGCTGGAGCAATCTTGATGGCGAGCTTGCCAATGGCACGGACGGATTTTCGGACAAAATCGACATCAATTTCAGTGGCATATCTAGTTGTTGTTAGTCGAATGGGTCAAGGAGAGTTGAAGAGTAGAAACTCACTCTGCCAGCTCAGTCAGCACCTCCTTAATATTGCGCTCAGTGGCCAGCATGAAGATGAGCTCGAGCTTGGTGACCTTGACATAAATGGGGTCGTTGTATTTACAGAAGAAAACGCGGATATCGTTGCGCAAAACCTCTGGTCGGCGTTGCAGGATGAGAAGCGCATTGCGAAGGGCCAAATACTGAATCTCAGGACCTTTGGAAAGGAGGGTGACGAGCGGTGGGGAAAGTTTGTTACATAAAGAAGTGATGACCTTTTGGTCGGATATATAGTTCATTAGGTAAAGAATAACGCGGATGCAGGTAAGAACGACGGCGGAATTCGAATGCGAAAGGCGAGGAGATATGCGTTCGGCGAGGATAGCGGCTTCGCTGTTGTCTTGAGGAACATAGTTCATCATGGCTTCGAGTATATATGTCTGGCCCCATTCAGAGCAGTCTGGCAAGATGGAGACAATCTTCGAGGCGCTGGCATAGTCGATGGTGAGCTTGATGTTCTCGCTTCGTTCCCAAATGTCCATGAGACTGGCGAGTGCACTAGACACTACGGTGGGGTTCTCGTCTCTCAGCATGCCATTCAGCCTATCGATGAGGTCCGACTGCTCGACTAGATGTCGGTCATGGTCGTAGAGTTTAGCGACGCAAAAGGCGGCGGTTTTTCGCACATAAGGGTCGGCGTCTTTGAGAAGGTTCTTGAGGTGGGGAACAGTGGCTTCGACAAATTCGCGGACGTGCACATAGGACATTGTGCGTAGGGCAAGGGCGCGCACGAGGGGATTACTGTCGTTCATGTCCTCCTGTATGATAGGCAGTGCCTTAAGGGCAATTTCAGGTTTTATCCTGGCATAATTGACCAAGTACAAAAAGCACCTGCATCTTCGTCAGCAGGGCACATGAAGCAAAATCAGAGTATTACGCACATCTTCTTGATTTCCAGGCTGGGGATGTGCATGCAACCAACAATGTCTGGGAAGAGGGCGACCATGTCGTTGTTGCTCATGGTCATGTTTGCCACAATCTTCTTGAGGGCCGTCTTCTTTGCCGAGAAGTTCTTGTCCTTCTTGCCGCCGCTGTTAAGCTCGAGGCGGAGTTCGGCGACCTTGCCCTGTGGAACGGGCGATGGGTGTAAGCGCGGGCTGTCGAAAGCGTAGGGGAGAAACATGGTGGAGGGATGAACAGCAGACGTACCCTCGCGAAGAGCTTCGCATCCTGGCCGCCCTGGCTCATGGTGGGCTAGTTGTCTTGATATCTGCCTGGCCGTCGCGCAATCAACAAATGGACCCTCGCCCAGCTGGCGCCCCTCTCTGTTGGTGGGTGCGGGTGGTGGTGATGCGGGGTCTTGGGACAGTAGCTTATTTGCTCGTGTATCGGGCGTGGATGGCGTGGCGCATGTCGTAGCGAGGGTGACAAAGGGATTGGGGCGGGCGTCCGGGGGATTGGGAGACGGGGGTTCGGACGAGTGGTGACTTTTATGGATGGAGACACGCCCGGCGGCGGTCAACACGGAGGAGGGGACGTGCATCCCTGCCAAGCACTCCCGCACTTCGTCTCCACCTACGGCGCGCTCCGCACCACCGCCGCCGCAACATCACCACCACCGCCGCCACCATCCGCGTCTTGAAGTCACAGCCACAGCCAGGCACACATCTACGCCCATAGCCGCCGTCCATTTCTCGAGCACAAATGGCTGCTGCCCCGCCTCCGCCCCCGCAATGGGTCGTCGACCTCAACTCGACGCCTGCGTCCAAGCCAAAGAATCCCGCTCTCATCGACCCGCCTGGCTACACGGCCTCGCTGACCAAGAAGGAGCGTTCTCAGGCCTCCAAGAACCAGCGTGTACCTCCGACCGCAGACGAGATGGACACGCTCAAGATGAAAAAGGCATGGGAGGTCGCCATTGCCCCCGCTAAGCAGCTGCCCATGAATGCTTTTGGTACTTATTCCCGCCTTCCGTCACACCTCCACCTTCACTAACTAAGGAAATCAGGCATGTACATGACCGGAAACACGCTCCAAATCTTCTCCGTCTTCATGGTCTTCACCCTCTTCAAGACGCCCGTCCTCGCTGTCCTTGGCCTCCAACGCACTTTTGCCCCATACCAAACCCCCGGCACCGCAGGCCGCCTGCTCGGAGTCAAACTCGTCTACATTGCCTGCAACTTGCTTATGTTAGCCCTCGGAATCTGGAAGGTCAATGCAATGGGTCTGCTGCCTACGACGCGGTCAGATTGGTTAGCATGGGAAAGCGAAAGAACATGGTCAGAAAGAGCTGTGCCCCAGGAATGGCTGTAGCCTTTTTTTATCCACTTGGAATACACGAATTGAACATATGAAGCCCTCTGTTTCCATGGCCTCTACAAACTAATCTTCTGTTAATCCGTTCGCTTCCCCTTGATTTTGACTGTCTCTTTGCTTTTTTTTGCAAGCGCCTAATCCCTAGTCTTCGTCTCCACATTTTCCACGCCAACCACAGCAACTAGCCCATTGTCCGTAACGGCCTTTGTCGCTTCCTTCTTGCTCCTCAGTTTGAGAACTAGAGGGTTCCGCATGGCGCACTCGAGTTCTCTAGCTGTTGTCAAATCTGCATGGAGCAACCTCATAATGTCCCTCGGCATCGTTTCGGGGCCAGCATGTCGTATGTCTTCTGCTATGCCCATGAGTGACCTTCGTAAGCCCTGCATGTCCATGTCTCCTTCGTAATCAGCCGCAGTCATGTTTCTGATTTGAGCTAGAAGAGGGTTTTGCTCGCCCTGTTTCTCTCGGGTCCGACCACGAACATCCCGTCTGGGCATTCCACACGGGGCTGTATCGCTCTGCTTGAGCATGGCTTCTTCCATGACTATCAGCACGCCTCTCACATCCAGGGCCGTATCTTTTACTCCCGTTAATGCGGAATCTGAAAAATCAATCAGTTGCACATCCGGGTACCCACGATACCGATGATACATGTACACTGGGTACAAGCTCAACATGACATTAGACGCCTCGATCCTGCCATGCACCAGACTATGCTCATGCAAGAACTCGACCGCCTCAATCAAACCGATACATGTATGCGCCATCAGCCAGTCTGGAATGCCCCCGCTCCTACCGTTGCTGCTCCTCTCACCGAGTTGCTCAAGCGTAGGCCCAAAAATAGGGCGCAAAGCCATATACGACATCTCTGGCGCCTCTGTGTGCTGAGATCCCAATATATACGACCCTATATGCAGCGTAGATACTACCCCGGCCACTCTATGAATCTCTTCTACCGCCTCAACTTCTCTCCGTACCTTTTCTTTGTCCGTAGACATCTTGACCACTACGAGCTGCGGCAGCATCTCGATCTGCCCTGAACGTAGTAATGATGTCCGATTTTCCTGTATGTTTTGGTATAACACGTCTCCAAGCCTCTCATACTCAAGCAGACCGAGTTGTTGCTGTAGGCGTGCGTTCCCAGTCATCTTCTCAAACGCTGCTAGGATTGGTGCGCATCGATTCGCAAGGTCTTCGTCAATGTTCATTGTGGGCTCAGAGGAACAAGGAAGAATCCGCGAAAGACAGAGATATACCCCTGTACTTTGAGAGCTTTTGGACAGAGTCTTGACCACACGAAATAGGGCGCCTGGCGGTCGCGCCACGGTAGGAATCGGTTCCGACATGATTTTTGTGGTGTTGAGAATCTTCACGATGTAGAGTCAGGATTGGGAAGTTGGCAGACAAGCGATAGGTGAGAGGATAATTTCGTATTACAAAAGTCGCAGCGATGGTAAATTCCGTTTGCGTGGTGAAGGCGGAATGAAGTGAGACACTAGTGACCGTGAATGGGAAGCAATCGACCAACTACCATGAGTTAGGGTCTGTTATGTTATGTCTATGTTTATTTGCTCCAAGTATCCGCTACATGTACCCTGACTCAAATTCCTCTCAGATCAAGTTAATCAGAAGATGACCTCGTGTGGCCATACTCCTTCAACGACTTCTCTATCCTCTCAAACAAACCTTCACGCCATCCTCCAGCTCCATCCTCCTTATGACCGACACCGTAGTCAAACTGCCATGCCAATATACTTTCTGCCCTCGCTCCGTCCTTTGCCTCGAGAGTACCTACTGCTACATCAATGAAGCGCGGTCGCGTGCTCGTAGTATAGAAGATGGTCGTAGAGCACGTGTTGCAAGAATAGCGATGCACGCCAGGCGACGATTCATAATATACCAGAGAACCAATTCGACCATCCTTGCCATCGACCAAAGCAGCCAAGTCTTGCATGTTTGACGGAAACTCGTTCTCATCCGCGGAGAGGGGGAAAGAGATGTGCTGCAGATCGGCAAATGTCCAATAGAAGACATCGTTTCCAGTATGCAACCGACAGCTATCGCAGCCGCAGAGCTCGGTCTTCAGCTTTCTACTAGCTGGATCCACGTTCCATGGCAGGTAATCAGTGGCGACATGATTGTAGTTGCCGCGGTTCAGGACGAGGTCTATGCCTCGGCATTTACATCGGATGGGTATGGCGTCTTGTCGGTCCGTAATTGTATCTGGTGATTTCAACTGCAACTGCCAATCAACTGCCAGCTCTTCTGCGCTGTTGCCTCTGGTTTCGGTCTTGAAACATTTCAGAGGTGGACCAGAAGCGTTGATATACTTTATCCATACACTTGCGCCTCCATCTTTTGTATCGCCTATGAATCCCATGTGCGACCATTTCACCACTTCCACATCGCACGCAAAGTTGTTTAGTGCGCCCGTCGCCATGAGCAGCGGCTTCGTCTCGTCTTTGAAAGCGCCAATCATGGGGGTAGAACACGTTGCGCAGAACAAAAGGTCGAATGCTGGGCTGAAGTTGAAGAGCTTGTAGCCTGAGAGGTCAACTGTAGAGCGTGGCGAAGGCCAGAACGCTAGCGAGCTGTATAGAGAGCCTGACACATGACGACAAGTGTCACAGTGGCAGATGTGCGCCTTCAGAGGGAGGCTAGATTCAGGGACAGTGGTGGTATGAACATGCGCCTTGCAAAGACAGGATGCTGTTAAGGTGATTGTATCGTCGGCCATGTCGGCGGTAAAGAGGTCTGGAGCTGTGGAGTTGAATAAAGTGGGAGATACAGTAGCTAGCCACGGCATCGGAAAGTGTAAATGCTATACTTGATCTTAACCAGGCATCATCGTATTTTCTTGAATACGGGGCAGCGTCATAGGGTTAGGAGATATTGGCCAGCATTGCGGGGCTGGCAAACTGGCGTCTCGTACCTCGCATTCATGCACAAAGACACAAAGATGTGTGATCAGCCATTTAATGGTAAGAGTTGGCAAGCTCAGTATGCATTGCTACATCTTCACAACCCGCATGACGTCGAACAAGCCGACTTTCTGCTTTTCTGACAAGCCATCTTTCAACGCGCCGGTAACGTGCTCGCCGACTCTTCCACGCTGGTTGCTAACGACTGTCGTCTGCCCTTTCTTGAACTCGCATGTTCGGCCTGTCGCCCCCGAGATCCACATCTTAACAGCACTGAAGGATGGGTTGTCTAGAAGGTTTGTTCCGTATGAGGAGGCCCATGGAGCGTCGACCTGCCAAGGCTCTAGGCATCCACGAAGATCTGCTGCAAAGGCTGTGACAACGATAAGCTGCCGTTGCTGCCTGAATGCAGAAGTGCTAGGGGCTAAGCTGCTCTCGCGTGCGCTTGGGTTTTTTATTTCGTCGACTAACCACTGGAGGTCTCGCTCATGTTCCGCGTTGTGCTTCTCTACGCTCCAGTCCTGAATCCCATCTACCTCGTCAAACTCTGGCATCTTGCGCAAAGCACCGCTTGCGTCTGACTTTGGTATCTGACTCCAAAGGGTGCACCCTAGCAGTGTAATGTTCTTCCCCGGTACATCACTTCTCGTCTCGTAGAGTATCTCCAGTCTGCCTTGTGTTGCTTGCTCTTTTTCCAGCTGATGCGCTAATTGCAGCCCTTCCATCCACCCAACTCCATGGAATTCGAGTGCTCCAAGAACTAGGTAGACTTTTTCATAAAGATTACATCGCCGTATGAGAAAGGCGAGGTATTGTTCATAGTCAAGCAGGCGGCCAATATTCCCAGCGAGGATCAGGTACGGCGCTGCTACCGGTATGTGAAAGGTGAGGTACTGTGATTCGTGGTCTAGGTGGAGATCCGAGAGAACCTGGAATGAAGTCTTGGATCCGGAGAAAAGGCCTGACAGCCGCCGCATCTTGGAAATTTGCATATCAGTCTTGTTGGAGATTGTGGCGTAACTCAGGGCCAGCCAATAAGATAGGATTATCGCAACTGCGATGGGGACTGAGGAACAATGTGTATCGGTATGAGCCAAGCAAGAAGAAAGACAAGAGCTGAAGAAAGCGGGAATTATACTAGTCTACCGCGCACAAACGAACAGGATCGCGTACTTAGCTCCGTCTGATGCGCAGCAGCTGAGAAAGGCTGAGCCTTAGAAAGCTGACAATGCAGCATCGAAGCCTACCGCGTCTTCTCGCGCATTATGATGCAGAGGCCCACACCGCACAACAACAACAATTGCATACATCGCTGTCAACCCTGTTGCGTCCGAAATTAGATGGAAAGCTCCTCTTACGTTGCGTTGTCAGTGTTGCGAGGCGGTGGCTGTGGGAGAAGAAGGATCCCGCGAGCGACTGAATTAGAATCCGCCTAAGCTGAGTTGAGATGGCGGCCTTTGTCAGCCCCACCATATTCGCTCACCTTGCTTGTTAGTCCTACTTGCTACGCCAACAATCATGCATGCCATTGTCAACTCATTCGCAACGGTCCTGTTGTGCTGCGGTTTCTGATTCCCTGACTTTTATTCCACCCGCTAAGCAAGGCTGTCCGTCATACAAGTATCAAGCTTGCCCGTCCGGCCGTTGGTAGCTAGCGAATCTGACTTCAACAAGTCCTGGTGGTGGGCATTCTTTTGTTTTTTTCCTGGCAAAGGGTTAAATGCCCATGCCGTATCCCGTCTCCTCTCTTGATTACCCTCTAGCTTATCCACTTTGCACGTCAAAAAACCCTTGCATGAAGAACATACTGTAATCCATATCAACAAATTAGGAGTACCAAACTTCCCCTCGAAAGTACGAGTCACGCGATGTGTGCTCTTCGCTTTGGCTTAGTATTGCCCTCTGCCTCGGTCTCGGGAACACAAAGTAGCCGCCTTTCGACAAGCCGAGCGTATTGAACGCATACAAAAAAACGCGGAACGTTCCTATGGTTCCGCGATATTGGCTTGGGGGTCAAGAGCTGAACGTACGTTATCCGGTTAAATATACGCTGTCTTTGCACATCCCCTGCTATGAAGCTTACTTACCGACTGGTTCCAAGTATCCTCGCAATGGCATTGATCTTTCATACCATAAAAATTTTCATGTTTGGCGTTCTTGGTCGATTTCCTCACATCATGTGTCTCTAACCTATCGCTAATATCATCTACACTTTTGGAAAGGGTTTGGTAAGACTCCAAAGCTACTTCAAAGGTGAGGCTGAAGTCCCAATGTATCTAGCGTCTCACCATGGACGGGTCGAGATTGCATCTGCGCGATCTAGCAACCTTGGACCTGGAAACACTCAACCAGTAATGACTAAGAATAGTCTCGCTGTATGCACGCCAAGTATGGGTTCCAGGTACTCGTTCAATATATCACTGCATCTGCTTGAAAGGCCATACCGGCCCTTTTGACCGTCGGGACAATGTTTGCCGGTTGACTTGCGTTTGCACTGGGATACAAGTCAATTCCACACAATCAACTCGAAGACATGTGGTTGTGGTGTGCGCTGGCATGGAGCGTGTCACAAATTCAATTACCTAGCGTATGGGAAAGCTGACGAGAAAGGGAGCAAATCAAGTTCTCCATGTAACAATCTCTCAAACTACGCTGGAAATTTGTATCACACACTAGACTCAAAAAAGTGTGTGTAATATAGTTCACGTATTACAGCAGCTTTCTGCAACTAGTTTTGCCTCCCGTATCTGAGGATCCGCCATCCAGGCACAAGTTACCTTCCCCTTTGCTCATCTGACCAATGATTTAGGCTGCATATCCCGCTCTGCTGTCAGCTACCATGCCACTAGAAAGTATGTTTCTTCCTTGACTATGTGGTCAAACACCATGCAACTAAAGTGCGGCAAAATCGATAGATCAACGCCACGAAGGCCCTACGGCATTCATCAGGCCAGGTCCAAAGCCGAGGGTCTTCGTATTCATCTATTCCGGGTGTCTAGAGCTCATGGTGGCTTTGATGGTTGAATTACAATCTAAGCTGTCTAGCAAATCATCTTCGACTCTGGAATGCATAGGCTGACTTTGGTTCTGAACTTGTAACCTGGCATGGAGAAAGATGTTGATATAAAGGCTGCTGTAGTCACAGCACTGTATCGATTCAGAGTCGCCATCGTCCTTTATCCATTCGCTTCAATACCATAAACCACAATGAAGGCTCTCTCCTACCTCAGTTATGCCCTTCTGGCATGCATCCCCCTGGCCGAAGCTCACCCCGGCATGGGCGACACCATGGCCGAAATGCGCTACCTAGCCGCTCGCGAGAAGCGCCAGACTTCTAAAGAACTTATTGGCGATCTCAAGACCCTCGCAGATTCTAAGCTCACAGCTATCGGAAAAGACATCAAAGCCATTATTCTGGACCAGAAGTCTGCCGAGTCCACCGTCATGGACACATCGATCCCAGTTGGCAACATCGGAAGTGCAGCCTGCAAAGCTGATTTGTGTTGTCACTGGAAATGGCTCGCATATGAGATGACAGCCAAGTTCAACGGTACCTCTGGTCGTTGCAATAAATTCGCTCGCCAGGCTGTGCGTCTGGGCTTTCACGATGCAGGTGTCTGGTCGAAGAGCAGCGGCTACGGTGGTGCGGACGGCAGTATTCTTCTTAGCGATGAAATGTCGAGAATAGACAACAATGGTCTTGCAGCCATCGCCGACCAGACAAAGAAGTGGTACACTAAATACAATCAGTACGGAATGAGCATGGCAGACATCATTCAGTTCGGCGCCAATGTCGCGACTGTCGTTTGCCCGCTCGGCCCCCGTCTCCGCACCTTCGTTGGCCGCAAAGACAACAGCAAAGCGGGCCCCACTGGGCTTTTGCCTGGAGAGAAGGACTCGGCAGATCAGCTCATCAAAATGTTCCAAGACAAGACCATCGACGCCCATGACCTTGTAGCCCTGGTAGGCGCACACACCACGTCGCAGCAGCACTTTGTCGACACCACTCGCGACGGCGACCCACAAGACTCGACACCCGGTGTATGGGATATGGCCTTCTACCCTCAGACCACCAACAACGCCCCGCCTCGTGTCCTCAAGTTCCAAAGCGATATCAATTTGAGCAAGGACTCGAGGACAAGTACATCCTGGGCGCAGTTCAGCGACAGGGCTACTGCACAAGGAAGATGGAACGCGGTAAGTATTTCCAACCATTGTGTCCGAGAATCCAAACTGACAAAACGATCAGGACTATGCCAAAGCCTACACGCGTCTGTCGTTGCTCGGTGTCAACAACATCAATGATCTCAAGGAATGCACCGGTGTCCTGCCTGCCGAGCGTACATCATTCGTTAACCAAGACCAAATCGTGCTGGATAGGTGGCTGCAAGGAGAGTTCAATCAGCTCAATAACTTGGTGGATGATGCTATTCAGCTGACTGGTGTCATTTCGGGTAGGGATGCGGAACCGTAGGATGCTCGCATGGTATCATTTCGTATGAGAAACTGGTGACGATGATATATCACGTGTAGAATGAATACTGTGCATATCCCATCTAGAAAGCTTTGTAGCTCATTTGCGCTCTTGAAAGTTGAACTGTCAGTTTGCATTGTTTGTTCACCGAACACTTTTGTTAATGCAGCCTATGAACTGTGCAGCGGCTACTCATGCCCATGGTCAGCAAGAGAAATCCTTGACATTAAACTTGCTCCTGGATTCTCACGCCAAGTTGATCGGACAGAGACTGTACGAAAAAAGTCGAAGGCCGCGTGAGAAACACGCCAAGAACGTGTGTAGAAAGATGGGGTTGGCAACTCCCGGTTCGTAGTACAAGAGGACTGAGTTTAGGAAGAATAAAGAATCTCTTTGTGGATATCGCGTCCGTGAATCTGTAATGTTAGGTCCGCAACCATCTTTACCCTTCATATAATCATCTCTCCTAAACGCCTAAGAGAACCGGTTCTATGGCTCGAGGGTATGCTTTGAGAAAGCTATCGTATCCTATTCCCATAGGTGGTGTCGCGTGGGCTATTAGAGTCAATTGCAGCAACGCGTCTCGCGCACTCCCGATTAGCTGCATGCATACTATGGCACCGGGCCCAGGCTGCACGCGAGAGGAACTAACAATGCTTCCGAGTACAAAGAAGCGTTTGCCGTTTCCTTGTAAGTCTGCTGTATCCTCCCCACGCTACTGATAGTACTGTCGACGCTGGCCCGCAAAGGTTACCCGAACCACAATCCCTATACGATGTCCTTCCCTCTATACATGACCTATAGAAGGTGAAGATGTCAGTCATATATACGACATGCAGCTCCTTGAACAGAGCAGAGACCATCGAATACCCGGTAGTGTCGCTGAGCTGCTCGAGGGGAATATGGCGCACGGACCGGCGTGAAGTTGGCTGCTTCCAATCTTGCCTGCCCCTCACGATCAAGCCCTCCTCAGCTTACCCACTCCGGCGACATTGGTAATAGACAAAGTCTTTTGCTTCTCTTGCTAGAGTACCTGTTGTCTTTTAGAAGACGAATCTGCTTCAGGCTAATGCACCCCGCTGACAAGGAAAGGGATCGAGAGCTCCGCCGAAGACACCGAGTCAACAACAGAAACTCTCCCCTCGGGGATCACCAGAGACACCACAAGAAGCCACCACAAGAAGCCACCAGTAGTCTTCATCGATCGGAACAGCTGTAAATGACCCTTCCAAATCCGGAATGATCATTACAAGCAGGCCTTGACGCGGCTTGATGATCTCGCATTAGCGGAAACCCGCGAACCCCCACCACACTAAGGGCTGTCTGCATAGTGGTCAGCATACCCGGATAACAACATACCTTGTCCACAAAGCCAGAGAATAGCCGGAACATGGCATCGGCTTTCGGCTCTTGGAGAATGCTTGATAGACAGATCATCACGATCCTTCGCATCTAGGTGTCATCAGGTCCTTGATGAACTCACCTAGCTGCTGGCCAAGGGACTTCCTCTTTGGTCGATGCAATCCGACTCACCTACAAGCAGATCAGTATTGTGGTCAAGTGTGACTTTCTATGTCGGTCAGCATCGCCACACAAGCATTCTGTCTTACAAACTTGACACACTCCGTCAGTACGCTGTCTCATCTCTTTCCGTTGCTCAATCTTAGCCATCTGCGGGCCGTGTGCCGGAATGTTCTTTCCATCAACCTCAATAGGAGAAGAATACATGCATATGTGCATGCGATGATAGCGGTATCATGTCCTCTCAATATCGGGGTGACAGGCGGCTGCAGGAAGACACATACACACCGGGCGCGCACACTTTCCTACACCATTTCGAGGATCTGTATGCCGGGGGACACGCCGACCAATTGCCAAAGCCCAAAGATGGCAAGGCGAACTTTCGGTAGATTGGACAGCTGCATGTCTCGCTTCGAGATGTGCTTTGTTGTTGACAATGACGAAGTCTTGCGCAGGTCGTTACCCATGTACCATCCCTGGATAGCATGATCATCCCACGGAGTCATGACTTTGTGTACGGCCGTACTTCTCCTGCCTCTCTGATATCCAACACTGGGGGTGGGATTGAATACTAGGAGCGGAGAAATGGTTGTTAGCCGTGAGGTCCGCTTTCCTCTCCCCAGTTCTGTGTTACCTGGCTCTGCTCCAGGTTCACCATTGCAAAAGAAGCACGCTCAATCCCAATCGCAGGCAACCCTTGTCCGCGTTGATTATCGAGTACCGAGATGCTGCACACGAAAGAAACTATCGGGTTCTCCAGTCTATGAGATATGGGTTAAGCCATATGTCGAGAGCGCCTTGTGGTGTGGATGATGTTACTGAACTTCCCTCGGCGATGAAGGCTCAATTGGCCATGGAAGGTCGATCTTTGGATTGATTAACCAGTGTTTCAGTATTCACATCCACCTTCATCCACTTCACTGCTCTTGATTAGATCATTAGTGTTGTGACTGGACATGGATATGGGATTCGAAGAGGAGGGGAAAGGAATATTGAAGTTCCATGAGACATACGCATATCGCTAGTGAGAGTTTGTGGTTTTGTGGCCGTTTGAGACGACAATGCTCAGTCCTGGCTATCTTAATTTCGACGACTCCATGGTTACTGGCGACGTCAGAACTGACCTTTGGGTTTCTGCTCCCAATGTTAGAAAAAGGCGTGATGAAGTAGAAGCGTGTCGCACGATACCAATGGAATAGCGGTCTAGGAAACGAGGCCTGTTGCAATCGAGTACGCCTTTCTTGACGACAAGCCGACAACAAGATCATCCTGAGATCCTCGGAATAGGAGATTGAACCTCACAAATGGCAAGGTATTAGATTCGTGACTTGCTCTAAGGATCTTCTGGCATACATGCGCAACCGTTGATGTCAGTATCTTGTCAAACAGGTTGGGCAGTGTGATCAGAGGTTACTTTTCCGGAAGGCGCCAGGGATGCTTGCCACACCAGATGGAGATTGCATACCCCATTGTGCCACCTTTGGCATTACCGTTTGGCCCCCAAACACCTTCTTTCTCTAAAACGGGATTGTTCATCCGCATCTTAACATATCATTATGCCTGACTAGAGTTTGGTCTTCGCCTCATCTTGCAGCAATCATGATTTCGTCGATGCTGGAAGAATGACCTTCCACAATTTGGATACCATGGCTCCGCCTCATAGCCGAACGGATATGTCAACATACCGAATATCTGTCTATACGAAAGTGAAATCATCACTCGCAAGGCATGAGCGGTATGAGCGGTTTGTTGTGGGAACACCTGGTCATATACGTAAGCCTGATGAAGCTTTACCGAGGGTTGAGTTTCATGTTGGCCCTGGCTGTCATTGCAGGGGACTGAGTGGACTCATGGTTAACCTTATACTGGGGATAGCCATATGCATGCCACGCTGTGTTCCCTGGATGTACTGCTTCAGACAACATCGGAGGTGCAACCACTCATCGACTTCGCACTTCTGTCGCAGGAGCCATGCAACAGATGTTTGAGCATACCGGCTGGCCCCAATCACTTCACTACGGGCCCTTCTTTTTCTGGTTTTCTTTCCTTTGCATCTGTGGCGTCCAGTCGAAAGCAAGCGACTCGCCTGATGCTGAGCCAGTGCACAATGCAGGTTTCCGTGTGTGTCAACGGCAGGCATATCGGGTGTGTTCTCGTCTCGCATCAGCGCCTGGTCTCTGTTGCTTCGCACCTTCATACCTGCCGCCTGTGCCTTTCTGTGGTCCTATCCTAGGATCTTGCCTTCCATTCTGTTCGTTTGGCAGACGGCCCTCTTCGAAAAAGAACTGATGTGAAACGGTCAAGGAGTAGGGCTCTGTGCGGAGAAAGTTCTGGGAGTGTTGGGACTCATCATGCTGGGCATTCGCATTCCGAAAGAAATCGTGCGGTGTGTTGTAATTGCACCGCGCGCGCACTGGAACCCATCTCCCACGTTGCATGGAAGGCCGCTCGGGTTCGACAAGGTCGATCGAGATCGCTCTGGATTTGTGTCAGTCATTCTTTCTCTGATATGCAAGGGAGGGTCAACACGTGGTTTATCTTGTGGCCTTTACCACATCTGTGATCCACAGCGGTGTTCTCCAGTTCAACCAGGTCCACACAGCATTTCCATGCTCTTGAGAACTCCTCGGTTGAGTTGCCGCCAATGCAGGTTCGCATTAGGGTGTAAACACGTTGTCAGTTGTGGGCTCCTAGCCCGAAATGGCTGCGAGTGTCCTGATCATCCGTCAGGAATCATCTGATGAGCATTCAGTGGTGCCAAAAGTTTTCCGATCCATTTGTTACCTCATGCCGCCGTCGTTCGTATGGTTGCCTTGAAGCCATGGGTTCTGATTGCGTTGGCGGGGCTCCTACGGAGAGAAAGCACGCGATCACGACGAGTGCCGATAGCTTCAGGATTTGAAGCTGCTACTATCGCTACACTGCGGGGGTCTCTGTCAGCTTCTGGAAGTTTGATAGGACTCTCAGTCGGCGATGGCTACTGTCGGACAGTCCATCGGAGTCGGGCCATTGAATGGTGTTTCTGCCAACCACCCTTGCAGATACAGACCTGGTCAGCGAGCTTTCTACTCAGAAATCTTAGCTTACCAACTGTCATGCGAAATAGTTCGATGAAGCGCTGCGAAGGTTGCGTCGGTCGAACAGAGATAGCTTGTTGTCAAGCCTGCTGGGCGGGGGGCTCCATCAGAACCGCCACTTGCAATGCTGACTGCAAAGGGAAAGAGATGATCCCCAGTAGTTCATGAAGGCTTTTTTACGCCTTCGATAGCCCTCTGTGTCCTGTTGCGTTGATTCGTTGGCCGCCCCGAAATGCTGGTGGGATGGCGGCGGAGTCACGGACGGGACTGAGAGGTGAAGCCAGGGCACTGGCGCTATAACCGACAGCCATCAGCATCACAACACGCATGATCCAAAGGCAAAGAAGATGGAATTCTCCTTATTATGGCTATCGAAATAAGTGCAGTATAGTGCTCCCTGTCAGCAGTTCAGCAAGGGGTGAGCTCCTCCAAGCATAACAAAGAAAATCATTGCTCAAGGTCCAACAAGAGGATGAGCAAACATATCCTGCAAGCACCTCTTGGCTGCACTCCACCAGAAACTAGAGATGATGCGTGAGAGGGGCTATCTGCAGATTGCATTTGTTCATGCCATCAGAGTAGGGAGCGTCTTATTGCAGACTTGAGGGTTTGCTTTGCAATAGGCTGCACATCTTCGCCTGCACTGCCGTTTATCTCAACTTGCATACAGCAATTGAGACTACGGGGCCGCAACACCTTAGCGTTGAAAGACATCTGCTCTTAAACCATGTCTACGTGCAATGATACTGGTGGATGGCAGCCATCTCTCTGGGATAGAAAGCTTCATGCCCAATCGATGAGGGAAATGGTTCCACCAAGATGTTCGTAACATCTGGGATCAAACAGCAAACTTGATTGCTCCCATAAAGCAAGGAAGAGCCCTCGCTGTCAAGGATAGCCATTAGGAGACCCGATAGAGTGTGGCATCCTAGTAGAGTTGGTGGTGCATACTCAAGTGAAGCCAAGGCATGCCACCCTACCGTTTGCAATCTCTGATACATCGCCGTTGCCCTGTCAGCCACTCACCCTCACTATCCTCAGACCGGACACCAAGGACTTTTATCTGCTATATAGGTTTAAAAAACGGGCACTCTTTCATAAAGAACATGGCTGACAAAAAGATAGGAAAGGATGTAGGACCCCCCGGTCCGAACCTTTTTGCTCTAGTATATGGCTGTTTACAGAGTGGGGCTACTGCGTTCGACTCTTCTGGGAGCAAAGATTTGGTCTTCTTTTTGCCCCTGATTTTCTACAAATGGCCAGTAACCATGACTGCCGTCACAACCGCATTGCCTCGGACACGGCGAATAAGGCTATCTCTATGCTGATTCTGACTTGTACGCGTTTTTCATCATTATGTGAGCTTTTCAGCAGGGAAACATCACAGAAATACTTCGGGAAGATGATCTGCAGACCCATCAGGGAATTGATATCAACAGCCCACAAAGAAGTGCGGAATTATGCAAGCGAGAGTTCAGCATCACCTTGTCAATCATAACTCCAAGGACATCACAGAGGGGTCTAATCTGGATCTTTTGATGATTGAGACCACGAAAATGGGCAATAAGTCCCTGAGACCTGGGCTATAGTTCGTTTATAAACATGGCTTATTTCTGCGACTTGATGCCAGTTGCAGAGGTCATACACATAAGAACTTCATTTAGACTAAAAATGAAGAAGGCAGAATTTTTAGATGTTGTATGTCAACGGGCGGGAGAGATTGAGGTTGGTGCTTGTACAGGTATAGTTTAACGCTCACATGATGTCTCGCTTTTGCGTCAGATTCAATCTGTCAGTACCGTCTGTCACAGCAAAATCGCAGGCAGTAGAATATGAAGTAGCTGTTAATTCTGCCTTGTTAACAATCCTTTGGACCTCGTCGACTTGAAGATATAATCAATCTGCCATATACAAATTTTCGATACTGCAATTTTGTTTACTGCTAAGAGAAGTGCCAGCTCATTCAACTTCCCAACTACTCGGGCCCAACGGCTGCTGTAGCAGAATTTCAATGAAATTGCCCGTGCTCCGCACGGGCCTATCACCTCAACGATAACGATATATTTCAATCGTACATTTAAGCTAAGTAAATATAAAAATATAATCTTTATAATTTCAAAAATTAAAGACACGTTATCAAAGCACA